GCTAGTGACGAAATGACACCTATTTTTGGATAACCAATAATTATATAATTCAACCCCGTAAAAGTGTTCAACTGGCCTTGGTCAGTGTTTCTGTTGTATTCTTTCAAAGTTACAAACCATCAAAAAGATGAAAACCGGTACGAGCCACCTTAAAGTCCCTATTTTGTCGCGAAAACGCCGGCTTACCAGCATACAGGCATCTAAATAACCTATGCGCACGGGCTAGATTTTGGCACGGAAAGACGGATTTCGAGTGTTTCGTATTGATGATTATCTATTCGGCTTGAAGGCCATCAGTCTGCATTTTACCCCTGGTAGGTAGACTTAAGCTGTTGGGATGTTCATTGAAACTTCTGGCGAAGGTGCTTTGCACTTTGACTAGAAAGCGAGTTGTGTATAAACGTCCAATATGCTGAGTTGGCAGAATGCACTCACATGCGTCCCTTGTCAATCCTGCAACATTCCACTGGACAAGGGTAACGCAGGTAACGCAGACTCTCGGTTCTAGACTTCACATTGTTTTCTGCTTGCCGTTTCTCTCGTTTTCACTCAGTGCCGTCTTAAGATCTCATTCTGCATTTTACCCCGAGTCTACAGTCCTCATTCTGCATTTTTCACCCAGTCTGCGTTTTACTCTCAGTCTGCAGTCTGCCTTTTACACTCAGTCTGCATTTTACCCCAGGTCCGCAGTGTGCAGTCTACGTTTTACACTGACCGCCATTTAACACAAGAACACCTAACTATTTGTAGTTAGTTAGACATGGTCATTTCTCAACCCTTTCTTCCATTCGCAAACAATCACTAAACCATTTAAGTTTGGTATGTGTCGTTTAATCACAGGCGGCCCGAACGTACTGTGTGTGATTTAGGGTCAACAAACTTCATAAACGGCAATACCTAACAATGTGTTCACTTTTAATCCCATGGAATATGTTTGCTTCTCTGAGAAAAAGACGCTTTTCCTTCTCGTCCTCACCTAACAGTTTTTTGATAACGACCTTCTCAGAATTGTTTCTCGTCACAAAAATCAAACCATAGGATCCTCGACGACCGATTGCCTCTTCTTTGTCTCGCAAATGCTTCCACTCGAATAATGGTAAACCATGACAATCCAAAGATCTGTCTGAATAAATTGGGAGCAGGCCGTTAAGTTGATTCGCAATAAACCCGTGATGATAAATCAGATACGATGAATATATGAAGTTCATATATTTTGAACTGCGGTTATAGATACGTATGATGCACGATCCTCGCAGT